CCCCAAAACCCCAAAACCCCAAAACCCCATTAGCAAACATTTCTTAGATTTAACAATTATAATTATCTAGCTTGAGTAATTAAAATGGATAGAAAGGGTGGTATGAATCCAATGAAGTTTAGGAAAATGATCTAAATAATGAAGGCATCCGAGGTTAATATAGATGTGGGCAAACTTCAAAAACTTTTTAAAGAAAAACAGAAAAAGGAGCTATAGGAGGAAGAATAGGAATAGAAGAAAAATAATTTACCTTAGATAAGGTAATCTGTGCAAGGAAAAATTTAAGAGGAGTTAGAATAGGAAGATCGAGAAGAAGAATAGGATTTGCTAAGCCATACTTTTAAGAAGCTAAGAAGATTGGGAGGTGACTAGTTTTCTTAGTTTAATGATACTGCCACTGCTAAATAAAGGCATGCTAGATAAAATTAATAATGTTTTTAGGAGGAAAGAAGAGATGAAATAACTGAGCTAGAAAATTTCAATGCAGATGTAAAGGCTTAAAACTATCAAAGAAAAGAATGGAAATATTATATCTGATAGCTTACTGTCTGAGATTCAAGAAATTTAGGAGTAGATCTCACATCCTGCGTTGGGTAAGTCTATCATTATTCATTTTATCTACTTAGAAAACTCAAAAGAGAATACATACGATAGTCTGCCAGATTAAATAAATGATAGTGTGAATTTTAATCATGACTTGCTAAATCATTCTTAAAGTGCTATGCTATTGTAAGGTTTGGACGAGAGTCTTATTGAAACTATTCTTGAGTAAGAGATATCGGCGAAGGATAAGGTTATGCAAAATATTAAGACTTCACTAATGACTTACTCTCGCTAATAGTAAAGAAATCATATGCCAAAGAAAAATGTTAGATTTGATTCCTATTAATGAACAGAAAAAGATTCCTTCATATTGTAGCAGCAAGATTAAGAACTTAAAGAGTAACTATAGAAAATTCTAGCTGAGAAGCCACCAAGATTCTAATTTTTTGGGATTAAACCAAAAATAGACACTAAGTCGCACAAAAATTCTATTGCAAAATCTCCAGACGATTCAGGTTTTTTCCTAACTCACACTAATTTTAATGACACCGATCATTTTAAGAGTAAAGAAAATACGGTTCAAGAGGTTGAAGACAAGCCTTTAACTAAAAATGACATCTTTTTCGCAGCATTCGAGTAATCTATTCTACAGAATAGGAATCAATCAGTACTTAAAAAATAGCCATTTTAATTTTAACTAACAGCAGCGCCTTTTACAACTCAATTGTCACTAAATGATTCAAATTTCCATTAACTGAAGAAACATATTCAAAAGTCTAGTTTCACTCCAAGATAGAGCTATCATTATTATTAGAAGCCTAAAGATCTTTATATAAATGCAAAAGATGATTTAAGAAAGGAGCTACTTAAAGGAAGAAAGAGACAAAGGTCAGTAAATGATTCAGAGAGGAGAAATAAGGATACTAGTCAAGATCACAAAGAACTAAAAAATATTCAAAGAAAAATAAAGAGGCTGATATGGGATAGCCAGGGATCATCAGGGAATGATTAAAGCTTTTTATCTGTTTCTAAGTCTATGGAAAACACGAGCCATGAAAGCATTAAAATTCAATACTTCCTTAATAAGATTCAATTTCCACCTTTGTCTGATAGGAAGATGCTCAGACCTTTATATCGAATGGTAGATGAGAAAGTGTAAATACCAAAAGAAGATCTGCATCCGGTGGTGAATGAAACCCCAAAACAAAATTACTTTCATAATTAAAGTCTCAAAAAATCTTTATCTGATGCTTAGCTAATGACCTAATTAACTTAGAAAACATAAATATTATCTCCTAGGCCTGAATCTCCTAAATACAAAATAGTATAGGTAAAGAGAAGAGTGAGGAGACACACAATCCACCCATTATAAACACATTTACTCTCAGATGACATTCCCATTGTAAATTATGAGGCAAGCATTTTATTCACCAAGCAGTTTAGCATAATATATGAGGAAGTGGAAAGTTTACAAAAATAGGTTTACAACTTGCTAAGTCTGTTTTACATTCGTTAAAAGGTAAGCTTTTACTTGAATTTCGTAATATACTTATAGTATGATTTCGTGAGTGTTTGCAAATAGATGAGTCTTAGGCAATAGATTAATATAAACATGACTCTAGAAATGATAATCGCATTGTGCTTGAACATTGTTAAGAAACTTTTAAATAGTAATGAACTCTAGCATTTTTACAAATCTCTTCTATAGAATATGGCGACTAGCCTGAATTAATTGGTGTCACAGATGCAAATTATTTATTAGAAGTCGATGTAACAGTTGAGGATGAACAAGATGCTCTCGCTTAGAATATGAAATCAATGAAAAAGACTGGCTAATCACTTTACGAGGCTTAAGAAGCTTACATGCTAATGTATAAGATCTATTAATCTGAGAATGCTGTTATGAGTCTTCCCATTCTACATGAATTGGTTGAAAGAATTGTCAGAGCGCGATTATGTATAGTGGAAGTTATAGAATAATACAAGTTATACTCTGATAAGATAGATCTACAAGATAATTTATAGCAGAAAGTGGTTGATCATATATAGTCTATATCAAAAGGAGGCGCAGAGAGTTAATAAAATAGACTCAAGCAGATAACATAGTAAATAACTAAAGATAGGTCAGCTTAAAAGAAGAGACTGATACCTAAGCTACCTAATGAAACAAGGGATCTGATTAGGAAGAAATCCATGAGAATTATACCGAGGGCTGAGAACACAAGAAGTCAATAAGCCAAAATTATCTAGCTTACTCAACTATCAGGAGAGAAAAGAGATGAAGAGAAATTCTTAAACAGAGTCGGAAATTAATCACATAGAGACAATTTCTTGACCTAGAGAAAAACGGAAGAGCAAGATTCGATACTAAACTATTGAAGATATGACTTTTTATTGAAACAACATTTTTATAATCTTAATTTCATCACTTTTCAAAGTAGCAACTTATTCCCAAGGGGTTTTGGGGTTTTGGGGTTTTGGGGTTTTGGGG